GATTCCGGTTGACTTCCAGTCTCAGGAGATTTTCTCCTTCGAATGGGAGGATGGAAGGAGGGTTAGAAAACAGCTTTGCTGGACAGTGCTGGCTCAGGGATTTAAAAATTCCCCCACCCTTTTCAGCCAGGCCCTGGCTAGAGACTTGGAGGAGTGGGACAACGAGGACAAAGTCCTCCTCCTGCAATATGTGGATGACTTGTTAATTGCTGCAGTGGGTCTAACCTCTTGCCTTAAAGCCACTGTGAGCCTCCTGAACTTTGTTGGACTTCGAGGATATCGAGTAGCACAGAGTAAGGCTCAGATTGCCCTTCCAGAAGTTCACTACTTACGATTTTATATAAGGCAGGGGGAACGTCAGCTGTCAAACGAAAGAAAGGAAACTATCTGTCAAATTCCTGTCCCAAGCAATCGTAAACGGCTCAGGGCATTTCTGGGTATGGCAGGCTTCTGTAGGATATGGATCCCAGGGTTTGGACTGTGGGCTAAACCCTTGTATGAATGTGTTAAGGGAGCAGATCATGACCCCTTTTACTGGTCCTCAGAAGCCGACAAGGCATTTAAGGTTTTAAAAAGGAAACTGATGGAAGCTCCAGCCCTCGGTCTGCCAGACCTCTCTAAGCCATTCCAACTGTATGTCCATGAAAGGAAAGGAGTGGCCCTGGGAGTGCTTACTCAGTTATTAGGCACCTGGAAACGTCCCGTGGCATATTTCTCTAAACAACTGGATCAAGTTGCTAAGGGATGGCCGGCATGTTTGCGAGCGATCGCAGCAACTGCTCTAATGCTTGGGGAAGCTGAGAAATTGACACTGGGAGGAGCTGTGCAAGTGTATACTCCCCACATGGTTCAAGCCCTGCTGGATACTAAAGGTGGTCTCTGGCTTACACAGGCTCGAGTTGCTCGGTATCAGGCAAAGCTTGTAGAAAATCCTGAAGTTACCTTACAGACCTGTCCCTCCCTTAATCCAGCTACCCTGTTACCGGAGACAGAGGAGCAGGAACATGACTGTTTGGAGGTCATAGATGCCCAATATTCTAGCCGCCCAGACTTAAAAGATCAACCCCTCCCGAATGCTGATTATGAGTGGTATACTGACGGCAGTAGTACAGTTGTAAATGGGCAAAGGAGGGCTGGCTATGCTATTGTATCTCTCCATGAAACTGTGGAAGCAGAGGGTTTACCTGCTGGGACATCAGCCCAGCTGGCTGAATTGGTAGCCTTAACTCGTGCACTTGAACTGTCAAAAGGGAAAAGAGTTAACATTTTTACTGATTCCAGATATGCCTTTGGAGTGTTACATGCCCATGCTGGTCTATGGAAGCAACGAGGAATGTTGACAGCGCAAAGCTCTCCTGTCAAACATGGACCCCAGATTCTCCGGCTTTTAGATGCGGTACAGCTCCCCACAGTAGTAGCAGTGGTACATTGCAAGGCTCATCAAAAGGGAGATCAAGATGTGGCCAGAGGTAATGCTAGGGCGGATAGGGAAGCTAGGCGAGCTGCTACCCTGGAACCACTAGAAGCTGAAGATGCCCATATGCATGCCCTCATCCCATCAGTGGGTGAGCTCCCGACTCCTCAGTACTCTGGCAAAGAAAGGGATCTGGCCGACAGACTCGGTCTCCAGGAAAAAGGGGGGTGGTTCCACTCCCTGGAAGGAAAGATCCTACTACCAAAGCGCCTAATTCGGTCAGTGCTGCAGAAACTACATCAAACCACTCATGCAGGGAGAGAGGCTCTCTCTCAGCTAATGGGTAAATATTTTTTAACCTCTGGACTTAGGCCTCTGGCCTCCCAGGTACAGGCTGAATGTTTAGTTTGCCAAAAGAACAACCCTCGACTGGGAGTGTCAGTACTGCCAGCCACTCTGGAGCCTACCCCAGGCCCGGGACTGGTGTGGCAAATAGATTTTACTGAGTTTCCCCGGACCCAAGGATTCAGATACCTCCTCGTTTTGGTAGATCGATTCAGCGGATGGCCTGAAGCCTTCCCATGCCGTAATAACACTGCCAAAACAGTGGTTCTTAAATTTGTCAAAGAGATCATTCCTCGCTTCGGACTCCCCCAGTGGATGGAATCTGACAACGGAACACACTTCACATCCCAAGTCGTTCAAAAGATATTGGATGCCCTACAGATCCCCTGGAAGCTTCACACGCCATGGCGACCACAGGCCAGTGGGGTAGTAGAGCGTACAAATCAGACACTTAAGCGGCACCTCTCAAAGGTTTGCCAAGAGGCTTCCCTTAAGTGGCCTGATGCTTTGCCCCTTGTTCTGCTCCGCATTCGCGCTCTCCCTAAGGGCAGGTTAGGGCTCAGTCCCTTTGAGATTATGTTTGGAAGGGCATGGCCTATGAATGGTACACCGGTTCTGGCAGGGGAGTGGGAAATGGGGTGTAGCTTCTTATCTCAGTACATGTGCTCTCTGTCTGCTGTTCTCTGTTCTCTCCACAGGTATACCAAAGATTTGCAACCTCTCCCGCTGGATGCCCCGATCCACTCCTTGCAGCCAGGCGATTCTGTACTCGTCCGGACCTGGAAGGACGAGCCTCTCCTAGAGAAGTGGAAGGGACCCTACACCGTCCTGCTGGTCTCCCACACAGCAGCAAAGGTTGAGGGACACAAAAACTGGATTCATCACTCTCGTCTGAAAGCAGTGCCTGCTTCTGAATGGTGGACCGTCCAGCCTGCAGAGAAGACTGCCAGCGACAATTTGGGACTTAAGCTGTTATTCAGACGACAGTAGTGTCTGCTGGGAATGCCCTGTGATCTCTTTGGACAGTCACAGCGCACTCCCCGTGAGACCTCTGAGCGTTGGTTGTGTTTGTTTTCACAGGACCGGCCTAACCTGGTGGCCTGGTCCCTTTTGTTTTTAATCTGCTTGCTATTGGTAATTGTTATTTTGTGGGTATTTGGGGAATTGTGATTGTTAGGCCTAGGGTCACCTGCCCAATATGAGTTCAGATCCAGGGTCTGCCACAGTGGTGCTCTTTGCCATAGGGACACTCCTCTTGTTAATTCCCGTTTTCTCCCCCCAGGCACATGCGGGATGGAAAGGAATCCCTACTAACTTAGAGACAAACACATATGAGTCCCTGAATGTTTGCTTTGCCCAAGAGTTTAACCTCTCCAACTGCTGGGTATGCTCCCAAATCCCACACCATGCTGCAGAGTTACCCTGGAGGGTCGTTCCCCAGATTTGGTCAGATATCTGTTCGGTCTCTTTCAGCACT